AGAAACAACTACAACTGATCCACCAAGAGATTCTACAACTCAAACCCCAAGAGAAACTACCACCATCCTACCAACGGAAATCTCAACATTGTCTGCTATGGAAATGACATTAGAAACAACCGATTCATCTATTGAAACTACTACCCAAGCATCAAGCATTATAACCACTACTGCAGGAGAAATACCAAATGATACCACCGTAGAAACGACAACTATACAAGCAACTACAGAGTCCAGCCCAGAAATAGCAAGTGAAACTAACGGAAAATTAGAAGAGCAAACTACAGCAGACGCTATCACTACGGAAACACCAACTGAATCTACCACACAACTATCTCCAGAATCTACTACACAAATCCCTTCTATAATTGAACCTAATTTTCAGTTAACCGAATCACCAAATGAAAGTAGCACAGCATCACCAAATGAAAATACCACCACCTTAGAATCAGCAACTGAAACAACAATAGAAACTTCCACAAAATTAAGCATAGATTCAGATTTTCCGGAATTATTACCACAATTAGCCACCACAGCTTCATCGGCATCCACCACACTACTACCAGAGGAACCTGTTACATATACCACTGAATTGACAACGACTAAAAACACAAACTCTCAAGAATCATTTACCATCACTAATAGATCCCCTCAGATATATACAGAAGCTACATCTCCTCCAAACATTGAATCAACTCCTTTATCAACTGCAACTACACCAGAATCAACCACAAATGTTGAACCATCTACAACTACTGAAACTACAGTAGAGTCAACCACCATAAATGTTTTAGAACCCACTACAACCGAAGCTACATCTCCCACGACTACGACTAGCATATCAGTGCAGATGACAGAGAGCACGCAAACAATTACAACAACAGAACCAACAACAACTAAAGATACTACGCCAACGACTACAACAAATACTTCACAAACAACTAATGAAACAACACTAGAGTCACCAACAACAACAACATTTACAGAACCAACTACTACAACAGAATCAACGACAACTAAAGCTACTTCCCCCACCACAACAGTTAACACTTCCCAATCAACTATTGAAACCACACCGGATTCAACTACAAATACTGTGGAACCAACTACAGAAACGATTCCAGTGTCAACTACAAATACCGCTACGGAACCAACGACAGAAGGCACACATACAACTATTGCAACAGAATCGACCACAACATACGTTACAACCCCCACGACTACAGCAGATACTTTACAGCCAACTGCGGAAACGACACCAGTATCAACTACAAGAACTGTTACGGAACCAACAACAACTAAAGCTTCATTCCCCACAACTACAGCAATCACTTCACAATCAACTATTGAAACCACACCAGAGTCAACAACAAATGCTTCTACAGAACCAACGACGGAAAGCACGCAAACAATTATTGCAACAGAAACAACCACAACAATAGCTACATCCCCAACGACTACAGCAAACGCCTCACAGCCAACTACAGAAACGACACAAGTGTCAACTACAAAAACTGCAACGGAACCAACTACAGAAGGTACACAAACAACTACTGCAACAGAATCGACAACAACTAAAGCTACATCCCCCACGACTACAGCAAACACCTCACAGCCAACTACAGAAACAAGTACAAAAATTGCTACAGAAACGACACCAGTGACAACAACTAAAAGTGCTACGGAACCAACGACAGAAGGCACACAAACAACCACTGCAACAGAATCGACAACAACCTCACAGCCAACTACAGAAACGACACAAGTGTCAACTACAAAAACTGCTACAGAAACGACACCAGTGTCAACTACTAAAAGTGCTACGGAACCAACGACAGAAGGCACGCAAACAGCTACTGCAACAGAACCAACGACAACTAAAATTACATCCATTACAACTACAGCAAATCCATCGGAACCAATCACCGAAAGCACACCAAATCCTACACAAACATCTACAACCACGGATGCAAATACAAAAATTACAACAACAACTTCGGTAACAACTACTGTAGTTCCAATTACGGCAACAACTACAACAACAGAAACTACTACAACGACTACTAGCTCAACTACAACAAAAACAACTACAACAACAACCACTACAACAACGACTGCTAGCACAACTACTACATCAACCACTACTACAAAAACAACGACTACTAACACAACTACTACATCAACAACAACAACTACTACTTGTAAAACAACCACAACTACAACATGCACTACGAAACCACAAACTACAACCTGTAGGCAAACTACAACAACATCCAGTAGTTCAAAATATTCACAAAATAAAATTCAAAACGTTTCCGGTATAAACTCCATATGTGCAGATCATCCGGATGGTTATTTCGTTAAAGATACCAAGCAATGTAATAAATATTATACTTGCTACAAACAGAAAGCCTATGCTCAACGTTGTCCTGGTCACTACTTATTCGATGATAAATTAAAAATGTGCAATTATCCAGAAGCTGTCGATTGTCAGCCAGAATATAAAGAACCAGTTGTCACTAAAAAGCGCAAAAATAAAAAGACTTCAACGACAGTTTTAAAGAAGAAACAATTGCCCTATCAACCGACAACTACCGAAACAACAACAAATAAATCATCAGATATCAATTATTTACTCAATCTTAAGCCGGAAGATTGCAAAACCCTAAAGAGTGGATCATTTGTGCGCGATAGTAAGAATTGTAATAAATACTATGTTTGCTTAAACGGTATCGCAGTTTCTCTATATTGTCCTCGTGGTCAGTACTTCGATATAGAGGGACTTGTTTGTAACTATAAGGCTTTTGTGAAAAATTGTCCACAATAATGTGATTCGAGATTGAAATGATAATTACATAAATAAATTAAATATTTGCAGTAAAACTTTTTGTACTTAAAACTTTAATATATCGAGACGCCATATTCAAAAATTGCTAAATTAGCTTATTTATTTAGTGAGTTATCACTTTTTGAATATGATATTACGATATATTTTGTTGTTTTCTTCTAACTATATTTTTGTAAGATTTATTGACAATTTATATCGATTCTCAATTTAAAACTTATGTATCTTCTAAGTTATCATCGATTGACGTCCTTATAGTTTATTAAAATCTTTCAATTGGTTTCACCACATGCTGTGGTTCTCAACAAAACCTTCAGAATTCAAGCAAAAGAACATGTGAATCATGTGCTGCTTAAAAAATCCATATAAAAAATCACGTTTTTTTAAATACTGATTAATGATGCTGTTATTAAAAACGCATACATAATACTTTTGACGTAAAAATTTAAAATAACATATTTCTTCTTACACATTTAAAATTATATTGGCAATAAATAATAAATAATACTACCTACTTACTTATCTAATCAATATTTTTGAAAGAAAAATTATTTATGTGAATGAAATAACAACTAATAAATACTTTTAGCACAAAATTGATTGATTGTTTATCTTGAATATTTACTTGACTCAGTTATTTTTTTGGCAGTCATTGTCCTTTAAAAGGTCTTTTTGGTTGTTCAGCAAATACTACTCACACGTGTGTTCATGGGTTAATGGAATTGTTGATACGTAAATCTTTACTGTTTCAAAAATTCGGTCAAGGATTTTGTATATTTTTCGGCATTTTATTAATTTAACTGAAAACGGGTTTCTTTGATACTCTTACACAACTATGTATGAGAATTACCAAATTATTTTAGAATTCAATTAATACATTTTATAATCCTTTATATTGTTTTTATATTTGCAAACATTTGTAAGAACATATTTCAATGTCAAGACAATAATATTGAATAGACTACACACTATACTAGAGGCTAGACTATAGACAAGACTATATACTAGACCAGAGACTAGCCTATAGACAATAGCCTAGCCTAGACTAGACTATAGAAGAGAATATAGACTAGACAAGACTATAGACTACAGACTATAGACTAGACTATAGACTAGACTATAGACTATAGACTAGACTAGACTAGACTAGACTGGACTAGACTAGACTAGACTAGACTAGACTAGACTAGACTAGACTAGACTAGACTAGACTAGACTAGACTAGACTAGACTAGACTAGACTATAGACTAGACTAGACTAGACTATAGACTAGACTAGACTAGACTAGACTAGACTAGACTAGACTAGACTAGACTAGACTAGACTAGACTAGACTAGACTAGACTAGACTAGACTAGACTAGACTAGACTAGACTATAGACTAGACTAGACTAGAATATAGACTAGACTATAGACTAGACTATAGAATAGACTATATACTTGATTATAGACTAGACTATAGACTAGACTATAGACTAGACTATAGACTAGACTATAGACTAGACTATAGACTAGACTATAGACTAGACTATAGACTAGACTATAGACTAGACTATAGACTAGACTATAGACTAGACTATAGACTAGACTATAGACTAGACTATAGACTAGACTATAGACTAGACTATAGACTAGACTATAGACTAGACTATAGACTAGACTATAGACTAGACTATAGACTAGACTATAGACTAGACTATAGACTAGACTATAGACTAGACTATAGACTAGACTATAGACTAGACTATAGACTAGACTATAGACTAGACTATAGACTAGACTATAGACTAGACTATAGACTAGACTATAGACTAGACTATAGACTAGACTATAGACTAGACTATAGACTAGACTATAGACTAGACTATAGACTAGACTATAGACTAGACTATAGACTAGACTATAGACTAGACTATAGACTAGACTATAGACTAGACTATAGACTAGACTATAGACTAGACTATAGACTAGACTATAAACTAGACTATGAACTAGACTATAAACTAGACTATAAACTAGACTATAAACTATACTATAAACTAGACTATAGACTAGACTATAGACTAGACTATAGACTAGACTATAGACTAGACTAGACTAGACTAGACTAGACTAGACTAGACTAGACTAGACTAGACTAGACTAGACCTAGACTAGACTAGACTAGACTAGACTAGACTAGACTAGACTAGACTAGACTAGCAACTAGACTAGACTATAGACTAGACTAGACTATAGACTATAGACTAGACTATAAACTAGACTATAGACTAGACTATAGACTAGACTAGACTATAGACTAGACTAGACTAGACTGACTAGACTAGACTAGACTAGACATAGACTAGACTAGACTAGACTAGACTAGACTAGACTACTAGACTAGACTAGACTAGACTAGACTAGGCTAGACTAGACTAGACTAGAGACTACCCTATAGTTAGAACATATAGACTAGACTATAGACTAGACTATGACTAGACTATAGACTAGACTATAAGACTAGACTAATAGACTAGACGATAGACTAGACTATAGACTAGACTATAGACTAGACTATAGACTAGACTATAGACTAGACTATAGACTAGACTATAGACTAGACTATAGACTAGACTATAGACTAGACTATAGACTAGACTATAGACTAGACTATAGACTAGACTATAGACTAGACTATAGACTAGACTATAGACTAGACTATAGACTAGACTATAGACTAGACTATAGACTAGACTATAGACTAGACTATAGACTAGACTATAGACTAGACTATAGACTAGACTATAGACTAGACTATAGACTAGACTATAGACTAGACTATAGACTAGACTATAGACTAGACTATAGACTAGACTATAGACTAGACTATAGACTAGACTATAGACTAGACTATAGACTAGACTATACTAGACTACACTATAGACTACACTATAGACTAGACTATAGACTAGACTATAGACTAGACTATAGACTAGACTATAGACTACACTATAGACTACACTATAGACTACACTATAGACTACACTATAGACTACACTATAGACTAGACTATAGACTACTAGACTACCTATAGACTGACTATAGACTAGACTATAGACTAGGACTATAGACTAGACTATAGACTATACTATAGACTAGACTATAGACTAGACTATAGACTAGACTATAGACTAGACTATAGACTAGACTATAGACTAGACTATAGACTAGACTATAGACTAGACTATAGACTAGACTATAGACTAGACTATAGACTAGACTATAGACTAGACTATAGACTAGACTATAGACTAGACTATAGACTAGACTATAGACTAGACTATAGACTAGACTATAGACTAGACTATAGACTAGACTATAGACTAGACTATAGACTAGACTATAGACTAGACTATAGACTAGACTATAGACTAGACTATAGACTAGACTATAGACTAGACTATAGACTAGACTATAGACTAGACTATAGACTAGACTATAGACTAGACTATAGACTAGACTATAGACTAGACTATAGACTAGACTATAGACTAGACTATAGACTAGACTATAGACTAGACTATAGACTAGACTATAGACTAGACTATAGACTAGACTATAGACTAGACTATAGACTAGACTATAGACTAGACATAGACTAGACTATAGGACTAGACTATAGACTAGACTATAGACTAGACTATAGACTAGACTATAGACTAGACTATAGACTAGACTATAGACTAGACTATAGACTAGACTATAGACTAGACTATAGACTAGACTATAGACTAGACTATAGACTAGACTATAGACTAGACTATAGACTAGACTATAGACTAGACTATAGACTAGACTATAGACTAGACTATAGACTAGACTATAGACTAGACTATAGACTAGACTATAGACTAGACTATAGACTAGACTATAGACTAGACTATAGACTAGACTATAGACTAGACTATAGACTAGACTATAGATAGACTATAGACTAGACTATAGACTAGACTATAGACTAGACTATAGACTAGACTATAGACTAGACTATAGACTAGACTATAGACTAGACTATAGACTAGACTATAGACTAGACTACAGACTAGACTACAGACTAGACTACAGACTAGACTACTAGACTAGACTATAGACTAGACTAGACTAGACTATAGACTAGAAAATAGACTAGACTATAGACTAGACTAAACTATAGACTAAACTATAGACATCCATATTACATCCATAATGCAATTTTTGTTTTGATTTGGTGAAAAAGTAAAAATTATTTTTTTTTAACATACATTCATGGATTCATAGATTTATATATTAGGGTGGCCTTAATTGTGGATTCAATATTAAAATTTGTTGAAGGTGATTAGTACTCAATTAGGAATAACCTTAAAATAAGAAGTTCTCTGCTATCCATTGAAGCATTGTTAACAATTTAAAAATATAAAGAATTTGGGAATGCCTTAATGTTAATAGTTATTCAGGTGCATAAATATACATACATATGTATGTCTATGTAGGTATGTATGTACAATGTAACGTATAATCCGTATGGAGTATGTAATCTGTCATTGTTTGACATTTCTATATTTGGAATAGAATATGTTTTTGGAAGTTTTTACTTGATGCATAAAATGCAGATTTCCCAGAAATTTAATGTACATATTGTCTGCATGTATGTATATGCAAATTAACTGGGAAAGCAATAATAACATACTAAAAAATTCTACAAAATATTTAATTTTTATTAGAAGTAATGCATTATAAAAGTAGGCAAGTAAAATTTTGGAATTTTTGTGCCAAGTTTTCATGATAGTTGAAATAATATTACAGTTTAAAGTAAAAATTAAAAGAACCTAAAGGTACCATATGTATGTATGTGTGTTTACACCCTCATCCTCTGCAATAGATAGGTGAAAGAAAATTTCTGGAATTTCCTTTATATGGATGTATTATAAGATAGTTTAAATTAAAAATATTTCGCCCTTACTGTGACAGAAACCACAATAGAAGGTTTTCTTTTAAATTGAATTTATATTTATTTTA